GCTCATAATTCTTTCAGTAATCCTTATTGGATGACTATTAGACCCACAAAAATGTCATTTACTATTTTCTCGCAGAGGGAAAAAAATACTTCTTACTGCAATTTTCCATGCTTGGCATTCTTTCAGTAAAACTTATCATATATTTATGACGGCCAGACGAGTCGGATTAGCAGTACTTTAAGCAGTGTCATATCAATCCAGTCAATACACAGAGGTTTGTTTTACATCTTTTTAACATATTGTCTGTTGTACTTACTTACTAGGTTAAAGTTTCTCTTTCCTTTTAGGATTTTCTTTTTAATTAGATATAATACCTATGTGTCTGTTTTAGGCATATATATATATTTTTTTAGATTATTTAACTTAATTAGAAAATATTCATTGAAATGATTTGCAATATCATTTGGCTTAGATAAAAACTGACCTCCTGTCTCTATAGAAAGGCATATCTTTTATGTTTTTGACAATTAAATCCTTTAATATATTCCATATTCTTTTAATCATATTTTGCATCTTTAATCTTATTTTCATAAAATAATTTATTTTTCTTTCTATTTAACCCAGTAAAAAAATCTTTAATTTAATATATACCTGCCAATCTGATTCATAACCAGATTTGCTGGCTGTTAATTTTCTACCATATGCTCCTTCCCTGTCAAACCAGTATTTTCTTATTGGTGCATGCTTTTCCACCACCTGCATAAATAATATAACACTTCAAACTTTGCCAACGGATTTTCAGGGTGTATTTCAGATAAAACTTCTGACCATCATATTTTCTTTAGCAATTTTCAAGATAGTTTTTTTAACTACACATCTCTGGATCCTCACCATCATTACTCTATATCAAAATTTTGTTTTCTGATCCAATTCTGTGGGCAAATTCCACTAAAATTCTACGTTCTTGTCCCTAAACAACTCATTAAAGAGAGACACCATGAAGTCGTTGGCTTGTTCTTTTTCAATATCTATTGGTAGTCTAAACACACATGAATTGAATTTGCTGCTGTGGCTTTTCAAACTTTCAGCCTTTTCTCTCAACTCTTTATTCTCTTTCATGAGTAACTGTTTTGATTTCTCCAACGTATGTTTGCGATCCTTCATGTTTGAGAAAGTTTGTTCTACTTATAAGTTTCTTGTTGCATTCACTCAAATCCTCCTTCATGTAATTAAACTGGGGCTGTAGTTTTATCAGTTGCAGCATTTACTTCCTCTCTTATTATATAGCAGATTGATACCAACATTTCTCGCTGCTTCTCACATAAAGAAAATCTCACTTTCTGCTTGTTCCTCTTAGTGCTTCCTACACCATGAGGACAACTTGTGAACATTTGCACCACAGTATACTGAAAAAATGATACATAAGTGATGTTTCTGCCTTGTTTACACTTTTATGTGCAATGAGCACCAGTGGTGGATACAT